GGCCCTGCACTCAACCCCACTCCCGCTTCTGTTCCCGCTACCAATCCCATACTTCCCCTACCCGTAGATCCCATCCCCCCGTCTATCAACAATCTAGTTAGGATCGATTTCCCCCCCCTTACCATCATCACCATCATCATCATCAATCTACCTGTGTGCTACCTACCACGTTACCACCCAATCAATAGCAGATAGGATCGCTCCGCCCTCGATTTACATCAAAATTCATTTTATTCATTTATAGAATCCATTTTAAATTCTCTTTTTTTTTTACATTCGAAAATACTCATTTCTTTCTCAAACGTATTTTCTTTTTCGAAATTTGCGAAATACATAGGATTAATCATTTCCTTCTCGGCATTTCTTCTTCGAAATTTGAAAACAAATTTAATTTAATGCATTCTTTTTTGAAATTTTGTAATTCAAAAATATTTTAGAATTAATTTTACTCTTTTTCGACATTTCTTTTTCAGCATTTCTTTTTCAAAAACATTTTTACTTTATTTTTATTTTTATTTTTATTTTTTTCGAAATTTTTGAAAATACGTTAGAATTAATTAAATTCTTTTTCGATATTTCTTTTGGAAATTCAAAAATAATTCTAATTAATTCTTTTTCCCAGTATTTTAATTCACAATTTCTTTTTGCAATTTCTGTTGAAATTCGAAACTCTTTTTACAATTCAGAAGTACTTTTCTTTTAAAAATGTTATTCTAAACCCCTCAATTAATTTCGACTAAATTCAATTAATTCACGACTGAATTAATCTTTTTATTCGAAATTAATTATCCTTTCTGAAATGTCGACATTTTCCTTTGAAAAATTCTTGCCAAATATTTTAAAAATTTCCTCTTCATAATTCTTTTCAGATTTTTTTTTTTTCTTTCCCCGTAATTCGAAAATATTTTCTTTCGAAATTTCACATTTTCTTGTAAATAAATTTAAATCTAAATCAAAATTTATTTTTTCGAAATTAATTATCTCTTTCTGTTCAGCGTTTATTTTTTGAAAAATCTTGGCAATTATCTTTATTTATTCATTTATTTTCGAATTTATAAGGGATTGTCTCCCCCCATCTCCACATGCCACCACGCCAAACCAAGAACTCCAAACCTGCCTCCAACGCCCCCGCTGCTGCCGCCACCACCGCTGCTGCTGCATCCTCCCCCGACATGGCCGCATCCTCCATCAACATGTCTGACATCCGCACAGACTCAGTCGATAGCATCGCCCGCAACCTCGCAAGCGAACAACCACCAGCAAACACCGCCACCCCCGACCTCTCCGCCATCCTCCACGCACTCAACACTCTCCGAACCTCCGTCACCGTCTCTCTCGACGACATAAAGGCCAACATGTCGTCCATATGCGACTGCGTCACCACGATCGAAGGGACCATCCCCTCCATCACGGTCGTCACCACCGCGCAAACCACTCCCTCCTCCACAGCGCAAACCACTCCCTCCTCCACAACCGCCTTCAGCAACACCCCCCCGCCGACCTCCTCCACTCCTACCACCTCTACCACTACATCCACCAACCCTTCAACCTCCAACATTGTTCAGTTCCCTCCACCTCCTCCCTCATCCGGCGCATCCAGCACATCGCCTCATTCCTCGCCCATCCACGTCACCCCTCTTCCCCCCCCGCACTCCCAAACCCTCTCCCAACCCATCATGACCACCTCCACCATCCCCACCATCCGTCCCACCTATTCCCAAGTCACCTCAGAGGTTTACCCCGCAATGCCACAACTCCCCCTCAACTACCTCCTTGAGGACAACAACCAAATCGACCACACCTGCTACAACACCACCCCCGATAACCTCAGCTTCAACACCCTCGCGCAGATCGTTCACCGCGACGGGGAAATCCCCCGTTCCTTCCGATCTGGCGAAATCATGTCCTTCTCCGGCCTCCCCCAC